ATTTACTGTATAACTGTATTTGGCCACTGGATAGTGCTGTGTGTAAAATACCTTATTTAAACTAACCTCAGCCACACCTAGCAGAGCACTAAAGAATCTTATGATAAACACATCTGATGCATATCTCCCTCAGAAGTAAGCTCTGTAGCCAGTCTGTATCTGATACAAGAGCATGGCATGGTGTCAGAAGTAAACTAAGAAGAGAAACAGAAGGAAAACAGCAACAAAGGTTGCGAACAGGAGGAACAAAGCAACAAAGGTTGCCGGATCTCATCAGCATGCCATTCTTCAGTGATCCAGAGAATTTCAGCATTGACACACTTTCTCAATGAACATACTGGAAGCAATATTTCAAGGTTTCACATTGCAAATAAGCTCCACAAAGAAACTGGAAATATATGGCTGTATTCTTTAATTTATGCTATGCAGAAGCAGGCAGTGCATTTCTTTGAATTCTTTGACTTTACAGAAGACAGTCACAAAGATGACTTTGAAAGGGTTTTGGTTGTGTTTGATGCATGCTTTGTACCTCAGAGAAATTTGGTCTGTGAAAAAGCATGTTTTCACCAGAGAATTCAAGAACCAGGGGAAATATTGAATGTTTATAAGAGCTCTGCATACATTGGCTGAAAACTGTGATTTTTGGGAATGCAAATTATGAAAATATAAGAGACAGGCTAGTTATTGGGTTAACATATAAAAAGCTTTCACAGCAGTTACAATTGAAGTCAGACTTAATCCTAGCCACAGAAGTATAGAAAGAAAAGCAGTCTGAATTAGTCAAACAACAAACAAAAGGCAGGAGCAACTTGAAAAACCTGAAACTAGCTTAGATGCTATAAACAGATATTTGAATGTTAAAAGACATTATCATAAAATCCCTGAGGCAAGAAGAGAGACTGCCCAGACTAATAGGGACAAATTTCACCCTACATGCACAAGGTATGGAAGAAGTCATGCCCCCAGAGATGATGCATGTTCAGCCAGAGACACACAGTGTAATAAATGAATGAAATATGGACATTTTTCAGATGTTTGCTGCACTGAAGCAGTCAGGAAGTTGACTCATATTACAGACAATCAAGAGCCATTTTTTCTGCGATCTGTCACTTGCAATGACACAGAGCCTGCCTGGAGAGTGAAACTGAATACTCATGGCAAGATTATTGACTTTAAAATTGGCTCAGGAGCAAATTTAACAGTCATCTCAAACGGGAGTCATCAACCTCTCCTAGAGCTGAAGTCACCTAATACAGCTCTGACTAGCCCTGGACGTATCCTGAACTGTGTGGGCCAGTTCATCACAGAAACAACTTGCAAAAGCTATGCATTCAGAGTGTACATGATCAAAGGATCAAAGGATCTTTGAAAACTCATGGCGATCGGGGGAGGTCCCGGATGACTGGAAAAAGGCTAATGTAGTGCCCATCTTTAAAAAAGGGAAGGAGGAGGATCTGGGGAACTACAGACCAGTTAGTCTCACCTCAGTCCCTGGAAAAATCATAGAGCAAGTCCTCAAGGAATCAATTTTGAAGCACTTTAAGGAGAGGAAAGTGATCATGAACAGTCAGCATGGATTCACCAAGGGCAAGTCATGCCTGACTAACCTAATTGCCTTCTATGATGAGATAACTGGCTCTGTGGATGAGGGGAAAGCAGTGGACGTGTTATTCCTTGACTTTAGCAAAGCTTTCGATATGGTCTCCCACAGTATTCTTGTCAGCAAGTTAAAGAAGTGTGGCAGCCATGATGGGCTTAGTGAGAAAGGTGGAAGAACTCAATGAAATATTCAGTGATATTGAACTTTTGAA